TATAACCACTTTGGTAACAATAACACTGCCTGTGTATAATATGTTCAATAATTATAATTTTGACTATTCAACATTTATTTGGCCGATTGTTAAAAAATGGGCTGCTTAATTTTATATGCTGCATCTGCAATGAAAGTCTGCGCACACTTATGTTACACATAGTATCTAGAAATTGGATTGCTCTAACCAATAGGAAATAATAATACACATACATAAATTATGTTAGCACCACATGATACGGAATATTGTAGGATAATTCTACACTGGTTAAGACCAACAAATTTCCAGATAATTACTATTGTTTTCAAAATAAATCATATAGGTAATCTATTTTAATAGATTTTTAAAACAGMATTATCTTTGAAAAATAGTAATATAAGAAAAGTTCTTTTATTTTGAATTGTAGTATAAATATATAAATATCATAAGCAATAAGTTAAGTGCAAACTTGTAATATTGAATATCCAATTCATTTGGCAATTCTTAAGCACTCGTAATATGGTAGGTAACTGTTATGTGAGTATCTACTTCTGACATAATACTATGTATCTACTTATACCAAGCTTGGATAAACCAACAAATTACGGAGTTTAACTCTTTGGTGCATACTAAATTTTAGTCGAATTAGTTAAGTATTACATTTAATCGTTTTAGCCAATTTGAACAGGTTTTAGGCTGGTAAAGTTTTATGACTCAGTGGGCCTGTATTTACCATATCTGGTGCTGACTYTATCTTTAGTCCTTTTTAAGTAATAACATTCAACCAATAATTTGTGTAAGTTAGAATTTGGGAAGATGAGCCGTAATATAGTTTACCCGACAACAWCTTTAAAATTTTTGTTAACCTAATTAAATATAATATGTTACTTAGACAATATATTTTTTTCCAATTATAATTTATAATTTGTGAATGGAAAAAAATAGTCCCTTGAGAATTAATTTTTTTTAAATATTTATCCTCTTGAATGCCTTTATTTTTAACATAATTTTCTTTCTGTCAACAGGATAAAATTGATCATGATATTAAAGAAGACTTAAAGGTTTTATCAAATCAAAATTGTTTAGATAATTCTGGGGATAATTCTGGGGATAATTCCATCAAACATGAATATTTGAAAGGGGTTGATAGATGTGAGAACATTATCATTGAAAATTCCAATTTTAATGTTTCAAATACTACAAATGACAMCATAAAAGATCTTAATAAATTAGACTTCTCAGCAAAATTTACAATAGAAGATGTTCCAGAACAAATACCATTTTTTACGAAAGCATCGCCAGTCAAACTGTTTGCTGAGAATACTGATGTTAACAAAGTAATGGTTTTTAAACTTACAGTAATTATACAGTACTTTTACAAATATTTAAAAATCTATATTATTATTAATTTTATCAATTTTAGTTATCATGAGACATGAGATAAAAAATAATCCATAGATTATGTCTTGTAAAACTAGAATAGGGGTGGCAAACACACCGTTCCAAAACTGGTGAGTTTGYCAAATTTCAATGGAATTCAAAAAATTAAAATTGAGAACATTTTGCTTGTAAAAATTTCAAATAAATAAATTATAAACATTTTAAAAGTTATAGTATTCCTATAAGTAAAATTGATTATGTTACTACATTATATCATTATATTTATTATGTTCTATTTAGTGTTTACAAACATTGGTCATGTGAAAAATTGTCACTTTTGATTGCAAAAATTTGGCACTAGACCCAAAAAAGGTTTGCCACCCCTGATAGAATAATTAGACCATTGTATTTGTTTAGTCTTAGTAGAACCATAGCACTAATATCATAAAATAACATAGGTACTCATTATATTGATAGGTTTAATATTTTTACTATATAATCTTTATTTATCCATGTTTTAAGTGTTATTATATTACTTAAAACCACATGAAATGATTGTACAATCAACATTTTTTAAACGCTAATTAGTGTAATCACYATGGCTAAATAGACAGGCATGTCAGCAAGATRACCAAAATACACTATCAATACGCAGTTTACTCCAGATGACGTCACATTCCCGCCGTTTTCATACCATGATTTACTCCACAATACRTYACAGCTTATGCGCTGTATTATCTTGCTGACATGCCTGTCTATTAAGCCATGGTAATTACCAAATTATTAATATTTAATGTCAATGAAACAATGATAGGTAAACTTTTAATTGAATAAAAATAATATATATATAGACATAATCAATCATTTTCCAAATATTTACAATAATATTTTGTTTTATATTACAATATTATTAAAAACTAAATCTTTAAAATACAATTTTGCATTACCTACCTATAATAGTTTCCCCAATTTTTTAATTCAAAAAGTCACAGTATTAGGAAACAGTATAATAATCAACTGTGAGTAACTACATTAATTAGCTATTGTTTGATAATAATAATTATTATTTATATTATTCAATGTATTGATTACTCAAAATAGTTTTATATACTATATTTTTAACTGTGAGTACCTACCTACATTTAACTTCATTTAAACTATTGTAAACTATAATTTTTACATTATTGTTAAAATATTAAAGGAAATTTAATTTTTATTTCAGAATTTAATTTTACAGAATTATGCATAATATTGTAGTATAGAACAAAACAAATTAAACAATATTTGTTCAACCATTTTCACGTAGTTGTGAGTAATATTGTACCTAGTCTGGGAATTTTTCTTCATAGGGTTAGCAATTTTTCCCATATTTATTCTTCGAGGAATTTTTATTTCGATTACCTCTTGGCGATTGAAAGCTTATCAAATTTTTAGGCCGGCGAGAAGTGATCTGTGACGAGACAGGTGGAAAAATAATGTATAAAATATAAATGGTACACACTTAGTTATAGCTTATTACTTTTGAAAATGATTTAACACTATCACTTAAATTTATTGTAGAAATTATAGATTATAGTAGTGTATACATATATTAAATATATATTTATTTTATTTATCTGTTTAGACTGAGCAAGCAGAATATGAATCAAATGGAAAAACTAGTGGTGTCGAGAAGCAGCTGACAACCGTGGAAGATTGTCATTTATCTGTGTCCTCAATAAATGTCCAGTGTACAAATTTATCTACAAATGATATTTCTAAAGCATTTATGTCTACAGAAAATGATTCTATTGTATCAACATCTGCAAATAGTATTTATAATACTCCCATGTTTACATCTGACATTAGTATTACTAATGCCCCTATACTTTTTTCTACAAATAGTATTTCTAATACTAATATGCTTTCATTTACAAATAACAATACCATAAATGTATCTGAGAATGGTGTGCGCAAAGATGTTATTCCTATAACAGAAAATATTTTTCGAGTGCAATTGCTTGAGTTTTTAAATAAAAATTGTCTTAACGGTATTTCAGGAATACCTTTAACTAAACCAACTCGATGCAAATGTAACTGTTGTACAGCTGTGAATAGTTTACCGATAGAACAATCGAGGGTATACAATCTATTTTTTGCATCAAGTGATAATTTTAGTCATACAAATATACATAGTGATATGAATTCCTTAAATTTACCACTTGCTGATAGTTCTATTTATGTTACTAGTCATCATAGTGAAAACAAATCAAATATACCGCATACATTCAAAACACCAATTAATATAGAGACTCCTAAAAACATTTGGGTTAATGAGTTGACTTCTTTGATTATTAAAAATGAGAATACATCTAAAATAAATCTTACAACTAACACAAATAATTCAAAAGAGTTGAACCCTATGCCAAATATTTTAAATGAAATACATAAAGATGCTCAATTTATTAATAAAAATGATAATACATTTCAAATATATCCTGAAACAAAAACAAATTATTCAAAAAAATTGAACCCTATGCAAAGTGTTATAAATAAAGTACATAAAACTACTCAACATATTAAATCACATTTTTCATTGTGTAAAAATTGTAAAAAATCAAAATATAGTCGGTCTGATAGTTGTAAATGTTATAGTCGATCTTATAAGCATAAGTATGATAGATACTAAACAAAACTATAACTGAATATTATGTTTTACTATTTGTTTATTTTTATAATTGTAAAACTGTTGTTAATTTTTCCTAATCATAATATATTGAAAAAAGTTTAAAAATGTTTAGTTATTGGATTGTTTATTAGAATTATTTTATTTGGCAAAATTAAAATGAACCATTTTTTTTTTTTGTGTGTGTGTGTGTGTGTATGAATTAAAACTCATGTGTTATTTATTAGTATGTGTATTTATTTTGTATTGTAGTGTATATTGTTTAATACTTCAAAACTTAAGTTATGAATTTTTTATTATTAAAAATAACTTATCTTATAGCTCATATTGTATAACACAATATAATTTATAATTTTACTTAGTAAAGGTAATTAATAAATGTTATACCAATTTTGTTTTTTCATTAAATATTGATTTACTCTTAAGCATTTAGTTGTATAACTTTCTGTGTAATAGTAATAAAAATGTGCTGTTTATTGTCTTACAATTTGTATCTACTTTTTTTTTTAAGAATATTCAAGAATGTAACTCGAGGTCTGGAAACCTCTAAAAAAAATTTTGAAGTGAATGTTTATTAACTATTGTATCAYAAAGAATAATTGTATTTTTAAATTATTATCCACAAAATATAAAATTCATAAATCGATAGACCTGCAATAATGTTGCAAACACAGCACTTGTTCTTTGTACTATCTGAATGATTATAAATTTAAACAATCTTTTTAGATTTCCCAACTCCAATTGTGGTTAATGTTTTTATGGTCATTATTTGTTGGCAATGAACAATAACATTTTGAATCGTCGTGATAATAACTAGATGACTTGTAATTATTACCAAAAGATTTTTCATGGATTGTAATTGTGCTCGGTTGATGATATGAATATGTTTTTTCTTGAACATTTTCTAACAGTTTTGTTTCTAGCTTACCATTATTATTAAATGTCAGAGGTGTATAATCATTTTTTTCAATTCTCGGTTTCCACCACGATTTTCCATCAAGCCTTGATTTCATATTACCAATCTTTTTTACATTAGACATTTGTAATAGTTTATGTTGATTATCATTACTCTGAAAAAAAGGTGTTCCAATTGTAACTTTTTTCATAATTTAAACTAGGTAAAGTAAAGCAATATTAGTGTATAACAATACCATACCTATGTGAAAGTGTATGACAAGTATGAAAATTACCATATTTTAACTATGACAATTAAGTGTACCTATAAACACTATTAACTGTAAATGTGTTGAAAGCCCTTATAAAATAAAATTAATAAGCTAGTAATGGGTAATCTAACCTAGCCTAACCAATAATATTGATTTTCATGTGATAAAGGATATTCATTAGAAATGCCAGATTTTATTTAAATTTAATAGTATGTTTTTTTTTATATATTATGTAGCAACTTTACAGACTAGTAAAGTACTTGAGTAAAAGTATTCAAATACTTTTTGTACTCAAATACGTATTCTAAATACATTTGAAAAAAGTAGGGTATAGTATTTGAATACWTYTTTGAAGGTATCTGTATTTAAAATCAAATACTATTTTTAAATACTTTTTAATTATTCTTATTCTAATTAATTTAAGTAAAATTAGAGTTCTAAAATAAAAAAAATAATTTTGTTGATTAATAAATAATAATTCAATTTATCTATAAGGKCATTGGCCAAGGAAAAAAGATAAAAGATATTTAAAAAAAAAAAAAAGTATTTGAAAGTATCTGTGTCTGTACTTGAATACTTTTTAAAAGTATCTTTTACAAGACTGCAACTTTACAAGAATTTGAGGCGTTGCAGAAACCTATACTGGTGCCCATTAAAAATCCTGACAAATAAGTGTACGAACTAGGCTCTCGGGCCAACTCTCGGACACAGCGCCATACGGAGAAAAAACAAGACATCGACTCGGTCACACAGTCTATATGTTGTATGCGGTTTCAGCAGGTTTCTGTGTGATTTGAGGACCAGGAATTTAAGTCACTGATTTTTTAGATTCTGAACGAAGCGATGAATGTATTGATTTTACAATGATGTGTGTGTGTTTTTTTTTTTTGTTTTTGTGTCTGTGTACAGCATAACTAGTCGAAATAATGCTTCAATTTCAAACTTAGGGGGTGGTTTCCGATGTAAAAGTGAATATCCTTGGTGCATTATAGAGCCATAGAGGTCAAAAGTTAACATTTTCCAACAGTTTTCAAAAAAATCGAGAAAAACAAAAAAAAAATGACAGAAAAACGGGAATTTTTACGCAAAACCAGTTTTCGAATATGGTTGTAATTCAAAAACTAATCACTGTAAAGTGTAAATACTTGAAATTTTCACCAAATGTTTATGTTAGTGATATCTATATACAGTTTAATTTTCAAAATTTTTTGACTTCTTTTGAGTTATTTATAGTCCACTGAAATTTTCAATTTTTTTTAGAAATTTTTCTGAAGTGCCGGTAAAAAAATGTTAGACGACCAAAAATACTTGAAAATTTAATACAAGGTTCCTTATAAGTTGTTCCTATTGTAGCTAAAAAAAATTAAAAATCGTTAGTCACAATTTTTTTTTATAAACATTTATAGTCAAAGCTTTACGAAATCTGTCGAAAACGCGAAAATTTGCAAGTAATTTTGAAGTTGAAAAATCATAAAAATGTTTGTGTTTATAACTAAGGATTAAAAATACAACACTAAGTATTCCATTAGTTTTCCTTCAAGTAGCTATAGAGAAAACTCGAAACATCATATTATAGGAAAAATTTTAAGTGCGTTTGAATTTTAAATTTTTTCGAAATAGCATAACGATAATGATTTATCCTCAAACGATTTTAAATATTTGTAATTATTCAAAAAGTATAAGTCGTAGATACTTGAAAATTTTACAAGTTATTAAGATTGGCATTTTATTTACATGATTTAATTTTCAAAATATTTTGACTTTTTTTAGATATTTATAGACAACTGAAATTTTCAATTTTTCTGAAAATTTTCTTTTGAAGTGTCGATAAAATTTTTTTGGCCCTATCAAAATACTTGAAAATTTAATACAAGGCTCCTAACATATTTTTACAATAGCAGTTGAAAAATAAAAGAAATATATAGTCACAAATTTTTTTTATAAGCATTTAAAATTCAAATGGTGACTAAATACGTAAAAATTACGGCAATGTTCAAATTATCTTAGATAGAAATTCATAAAAGTTTTTCTTTTTAATTCTTAAATTTGAGAATGTAATACAAGGTTTCTAACATATTTTTACAATAGCAGTTGAAAAATAAAAGAAATATATATTCACAAATTTTTTTTACAATCATTTACAGTTCAAATTTTGACAACATACGTAAAAATCACGAAAGTTCGTAAATTATTTTATGCTAGAAATTCATAAGAAATTTTCTTTTTAAATCTAAGATTTGAAAATTTTTAATAATCTATAATATATATCCTAGACAGATAACCCGCCTCCGTTCAGAACCGTTTTTCGTATACAATGATACCTATCATTGCATTCAAATTTAACCTACCCTAGTCAGAGGTCTATCCCACCCCCAATGTACCGCAGAGCGATTCCCACTTACCCGCTTTTTTCACTTTGAGATGACTCAGTCATCCTAAGTTATCCTTAAGCTAAACTGCTAAACAATTGTATTTATACATACTTTTAGATATTTAGGAAATAATATAGATATAGTATTCTTATATACTTATAAAAATACCATTAAAACTTTGTGTTAAATTTTAAGATACTAATAATAATTATGGTTCAACATTAGTACCCGCGGATTTTTCAGGGCTTAAGCCCCCTCCCCCCCAAATTGAAGCAATTTGCGCTTATGGATGACKGTCGAAGTTCATGTCWACGAAAACAAACACGAACCGTCAGAAATTCTTAGCACTCAAAGCTCACCCTCCAAATCACAAACGCTATTTGCGCCTACGATGACTACCAACTTAACTACCTGTCCCGACAACCAACCCATCGGCTTGGCAATATGTATAGGTAATTAAAATAAAACATTTTTGCACAAGTGATGTCGGTTGTCTACCAGTCTACCATATAAAATATGTTTTACCCCGTTACCCGATCGTCASCGCTGACGAGACCTCTCTCGTATCCATCGCTGCTGTACCGGTATAGCTTCAATCCTTCGCGTATTTCGGTCAGCAAATCCGGCGATGCCCCTCCGGCGGGCAGACGTCGTCTCGCTCCGTCGGCCACCGACTCGGCCTCAACCGCCGCGGCCAGCAAGACGTCCAACCGGCTGTCCGCTCGTTCGCCTAATAATCGGTCGGCCACCGGGCCCGGCCGTAGACCCGTAACGAACTTGTCGACGACCGGTGTCCACTGTGGCTGGTTGACGACGCCAAATCTGCATGGCACGGCAGCCGCCCGCACCCGCTTGTACCAGTCGTACGCTCGTTCGCCGTCCACCTGGCGGATCGCGTAGAAGCGTGCGCGGACTCGGAACTCGGACGCCGCCACGACTTTCTTCCGGTCGTCAAGGTCAGGAAATGTATCCATGTATAGGTAGGTACGTGACGATATAACGCCTATAATACTGGAGCAGTACCTAATAATAAGTTATGTGTTTATATAACATTCATACCGCGGTTATGACTTTTTCGCTGTTTTCGTCGAATAGGTAGGTTTTTGACGAAACTCCGTCACTCGTTTCCATGACAAATAGCACTTATCATAAAATTATATA